CTCACAAAGTGCGATGAATGCCCACGGACATAGTAGGCGAATTTATTTCGCCCCCATATGGAGACAACTCCTCGGCGACTGTCGCGGAAAGGTGTTGTTGTTTCAGCTGCGGTTGCCATCCCTGATTGATGAGCCGCTCTTTTGTGTGGTATTCCCACGGGTTTTGCTGCCTATGCATTGTTGATTTGCATTGTATTTGATTTATAAGGTCCAGCAATAGCATGCATTTATAGTGGTATATATGACAGCAGGTCAAAGCTGTTTCGTTAAATTGTATGCATAACGTAATCATTACACATACTACCGCATAAGTATACACTGTATTCATTACACTGATAATCGCGGTTACACCGATGTGAGTCATCGCCCATTTTGAAGTTTATGAAGTCCTGAGCTGCAAATCTTCACGTTAAGCATCGTTCATCTTTTCAGCATACATAGGACATCTGGTGTTAACCAGAGAGTTCTGTAACTAGTTATATCGTGTTGTACGGTCATTAAATAAACGAACCGTTATTCATCATGTCAGCCCGTCTAGAATAGGGAAACCAGCTCGCAACGAGCAAGTTAGTTTGCAGTTTGACACGTCAACATTTTTTGTTGTTCATGGACTGCTGATGGCGCAATTTTCCTACAGACCAATAATTGCCTCCATTTGAGCCATCTCATACGGGCTATGGGTATTTCTTCGGCGAGTGGTAGTTAATTGCCTGCGACGTAGTTGTCTGCTTCAGCTTATTCATGTCGAGCTCTAAGACAAGGTCTCGATCCGGGCTCTTGACTCTCGTTAATGGCTCGTTCGCATTGGTTCCAACTCAGCACTTTGGTGAGATAGAAGGATTAAAATTGGTAGAAAAATCTATAGGTAGCAAAGATGTACCACCGGCTCAGTCTCGGGCTTTCACTGAGGTGTTCCTGAATGTAGAATCAGAAGTGCTCATGCAGAAATGAAATGGCTGAACTGCAGGAACTTCAGTAGCTGTCGCTTGTGTCATGCAGTGCTACCTGTGTCACCTCATTAAGTCAGGTCGTAGCTGCGCTATCCCTCGATATGTAAGTTAATTAATCTGTTCTGTAAAGAGCAAAAGGGCGGAGAAATATACTAGAGACAACTTACTTTCGGACATCAGTCGTCAGTGATGCTCAAGATATATCGTGATGCGGAGGGCAGAACGTAACCATCATAATGGAGATGTTATTACTTATCTCCATGAGTCAGCTGATAACGACGAACTGGCGCAATGATGTAATATTTTACATGTCAAATTTTGAGTATGAATATTTACATAGAAATTAAGCGCTTGGCGTGCAAAGCCTTTAATCGTTTCCGCCAGTGTCGTTGACATGCTGTGCAGTGCACCGTATAAATAGTCAATCATAACAGGGATTCTGTTCTGTTTAAGGGACCTCCTTGAAACGCATATATTCGTTCAAAAATTTAGGAAATGTGCAATTTTAGACAAGGCTCTGGAATTTTGTTTCCTGACAGCTTTCCACTAGTTATGGCATGAGGAGTGAGGTCAAAACGTTGATAAAGATGGATGCTTGCCAATTAAAGCTGTTAACTTAGCTGTACCCTGAGGTAATGACTTTGCACAATTATCACATAGAACTATGAAATGATGGAGTAGTGTTCGAAATTCATAAATTTGACAGTGGATTCGTACTTTGCTTTATGTGAGCTTACCACTGTCAGTCTGAAATGCAATGGAAATAGGCACTGTGAAATTGTATTGATTAAGATCCCCATCACGTGACGTGTTTTAAACGTTTAATAAACTTGTCTAATCGCACCGTCCAAAGCAAAACTGTAAACCTTGAAATTCACTACTTCGATAGGATTTTCATACTGTGTTCGCTGAGAGATTTTCATTAATACGTAAATGAGAACAATACCGAACACTGGACAGAGGTAAACATCTGACAACGTACACAGTCAAAACATACGATTACCAGCTGATTGGATGAGTTCGCGCAAGCATAACAAGGGAATCATAGCATTTAATGAAAATTGTCGAAATGCACTAGTTTGACAGAGGTTTCGCACTTTCATAGATATGTCATATTGAGGAGAGTGTTGAATGAAATCATTAGTGCAGGTCCAATCATATAAGTTCAAACTCGCTTGTGTGCCCTCGGGACTGCGCCTTGACAACGATATCGATCTGGGCATAAACACCTCGCTCTGACACCTCCCATTCCGTCAGTTTGTTATCTAATAGGCAATGTATTTCATTGTGGATAGGCAGACCGCTTTGTGCCATTTTTCAGCTTTGTACGTAGTTCAGAAAACATAGTGTGTAACTGGATTGCCCTCACGGGCAACTGGGCCATCAGTCATGTGGAGACCACGACTGTTTTTGAGATATGAGATTTTAATAAGCCGTGACTTACCACCGCATCGTCCTGTTCTATGACCATGTTCAGATTGTGAACTGGGTAAAACATCTACGAATCTTTGGTCAAAACAGCAAGATCCGGTTATCGACCGATTGTACCTGAGGATCTTTCGGGTTTCGCTTGCCGATCAGTTCCCATTCGTCTCTCCAGTCGCCGTTGTAAAATATTTTACGACGTACTCTAAATCCGGACACAACTCGTCCTGAAAAATGGCACTCGGTCAGAAATAACGACGACGTGTGGTTTAGCCTCAGTCGTGAGCACCCACCTCGGTCGTGAGCGTGTACTCGGAAGGCGAACGGGTGCAGTTTCAGGTCTTCCTCGATCACGCACTCGATGTCGAACGTGTCTGAAAAGACGGAGGTTCACATGGTACGTTTTTAAGAACGTTTTCGACGCTTTAGTCACCGTTGGAATGCGGCTGAATTGTGCCATCGGAAGACATCAAAAGCAGCACCCCTGCGGTCTTCGGCATTCTAAATTGGTCATAGGACGCGTCAGCAACCACATGAGCGATTTTCAAGCCGGGGTGAAAACACTTACGGTGTTGTAGTTGACTGCAGTTCGACTCCGGAAAAGTCTGCCTCTGAAACAGAGAGTACTTAGGCGCTTGAGGTGCGATCTACAATCTGCGATATGCATGCAAATCTTACGAGTAGATATAACTTTGCAAAATTCACACTGAGGTAGAGAATGGAAATAGAAACGGTGTTCCCAAAGAGACCACAGGTCAGTTCAACAAAACTGCTTGTTAAAGGAACGTGCATCTTTGTGCTTCAAAGCCGAAGGCAGCTACTGGAACAGACAGATCATGTCTGACCTCGGTTTTAAAACAAAAACATATAACTGACTTCTTTCGAGCAGTTAGATTGACTAGTGAACGCGCTACCAGAGGCGTTCTAGGATTCAAATGCAACAACGGTATATTTTGTGTATTTTCAGGATGAACTGTTCAACTCGTGATGAATAGGGATATTTCCCTTTGATCATTGCCGCCACACATCATAACGCGAGTCTTAAATCTTATCTTTACATGTGTCGGCTCTATATATTGTCATGTTTCTGGAATTCATGAACAGAATAGCGGTTTCGTCTTGTTCTCACATATGTTCAATTCGCTGAACAAAGGGAAGTCCATAATTGATGGGATGTCGCTCTTCGTTGTACTTCCGTAATCGGACATTGCTACAGCGCTTCGTCTTTTATTTCGTTTTCAAAAATGAGTGCTGATTATGTACCTCAACGGGAAGAATGGCTATTGATCCGACAGACGTTTTGATTTTGAGTTTTCATATAATTTAAAGGTAATTGCATAATAATAAATAATTTATTCAAGCCATGCAGTGTTCTTGAAACATCCCTATTGTTTGAGCCAACGACAGCGACACATCGATGCGTGGCAGGCGCTAAAAGTCCGGAATTGCATAACTTACTTCTCATGACCCAAGCCATCCGATCGTTTAGCAGTTCTGACGAGATTCTGTTTTTGAATCCTTTGACAATGGCATCTGGCCATGTTGCTACGGGGAGTGGCAGCCCGCCCACTGTTCTTGCACGATTTTGGTCACTAGAGTGTTTTTGCCCATTCATGTTCGTTTGCTCGCATTCCTCCGACTATCCGAACCGCAGAGGCATTTAAGCATTTTATCCACGATAGCGCGACAGGCCTTTATAAACAGTGGAGGGGGGCGGAGCAGTGGCACGGAGCAGTGGCACGGAGCATCACTCGTTTGCTTCATAGACGAAGTTAGTCATTGGAATGTTTGAAAGGGAAAGCGTGTCTGGTCGTGCTGCCGGGTGCAGCACCGCAGCTATGTTGTCTATTGCATGTGCTGCAATTTGCCACGAGCCTTTCAATAGCTGGCGTAAAGTCAGCATTAAACGGAAAGCATTACAAAACTCAGATTCTAATCAAGGGAAATGAGCAAAGACTGCATTTATCTGTGATAAATAAGTCAGTGACTGAATAAGTAAATAAATATTATTAAAAATGGACACGGAGTTAAACATTAACGAATCAAGGTCATTCACAGAGTCGTTCTGATCTGCTATAACTCGTGAGAACTTACGCATGAGTGAGCATCGCACAAAACGTATCACTTACCTTGCAACGGATGCATGTAATGAACTTGTAGGACAAGGTACCGCATTGCTGTGTCTTTGCCGACTTTAAAGCCAACACCTAAATAATAAGGCGTTTCACTTGCACCATGCTGATGACAGCTGCAAAAGCCGGCGTCTAACTACCGTCAGGCAACTTGAGGGCCGGCGAGTCTCTGGCCCATCCGTAAATGATCTGCATGTTCATCGGGTAGTCGGCGCTGCAAACAGGTGCCGTGGAATATCTGCCTTCGGCAAACGTTCCGGACATTTCTCCGCAGTCCCTTTGTGCAAAAGGTTTTCGAGGTTAATGCCTGATCTCGTGAGATGTTGATGTTTCACATTAAACCTTACCATATCTCATCGAACGAGCCGGGGACAACGCAGGAGAACAGCAACATGTGGTGAACCTTGTGCATTGTGCTATTGGGTTTAAACGAAACTAAATTCGTGTCGGTTACCAGCAATGAGACCTCATACGTGTACGGCTTGCTTACGAATATAACTTGACGGAGCGTTCCACTGAATCGCGTGACACAAGTACTGGTCATTCTTAAAGACAAAATTAATATTAATTTAATAAGAGGAATAAATATGAGTCGCATTTCTGTTTCCAGAACATGTTCAAGAGTAACGCGCAAAATAGAATACTACTCATGTGACTATTTTAAACGAAACAAAAAATGAAACAGTCCTTAATGTTTGGACATCATCCCTTAGCACATTTTTTTTATTGAAGGATGCGATTTATTATTATTAACGTGGCTAATTGATGCACAACGCAAAAATATTATTGCGCGGGGCGAAACGTCGATATTGGTCAACAGTGTGATTGAGCGTATCATTTTTTGCGTAGTGTATTAATAATCAATGGTTCGTGCTGTTTCTCAACATGACGCACAAGCAAAATACTCTCTCCATTCATTTTCTATTTATGAACTGTTTTTCGTGTCCTCAGGCTTTCCTTCTCTTGCTGTTGAGTATATTTTTTGCTGTTCATCTTTTGCTGTTTATTATATCTACATTGTTGTTCCAGTGGGCCGTAGTACTGCTGAAATATTGCCGAGGCTAGTTTTTCATGCTATTCCTATTAATCTGTGCGGTACTCTTGAGTGATTTGTCGCAGTGAAACTTTTCATAGATGAAACTCTCGACTCGTCATATGTGAAGAAAAATTTTTCAATCGTCACAACCTCTGATTCTTTCCTTCTCTATTTTGACTTTGCACAAAACAAGTCTGTTTTAAACGGTACTTCAAATCACAGGTGAACATTTCGAAGATGTGATTGTGCGGTTTTAGATGCAATTAAGGTCTTTAGATGAGTGTCCAGCGTAAGCCCTTTCGTCCTTTTGCCTACCACTCAATCGACTACCGGGGTTCACGAACCACGTCATGGACGCGATTTACGAAGCATGCTTCTAACGCCACAGACCAGTGGTGTTCGTTGCAATGTCATTCAACTCTTCACTGTCCTAAATGAACTGCTACTGCTTTGAATCCATTGCTTTGAAAGAGACCCAGATCCACGGATGGCACCGCAAAACAGGTGGGCAAGTTAAGGATTTGTGGGACACTGTCTGGACCGGCAGTGGAAGAAAGACTAACTCGATTTATTGGAGGACATCGCGCGAACGACAGAGGTGAAAAACAACCATTCGGAAAGCCACTGGAGCCATTGGTTGGACAATCACAACATTACACGCTAATACCGTGCGAATTGTCACTTTTAAAACTTTTATTTATTTTTGTTCAAAACTTGATATTAAAATCTCCTTCTGATAATGAAGTTATCATGGACTTTATTGCACCTCATTCTTTTCCACTGTTTTTTCTCATTTTTTGCTTTGCTCTAGGTCAGCGATGCAATGTGGTCCATTTGAAAATTAATTCATGATAATTATAATTAACTTATTTCTGGAAGAGCATATGTTTACGATCTCTGACCAGCGGTTCTTTGTGCTGACGGCGTAAATCACTTGAAATAATTAGCTATTGTACAACGCGCTTATGCTGTAGTGCAACTCAAAGGAGGGCCGGACAATTAGGCAAATGAGGACGGAAACGTACGGGGCGAGTAAAACTAACTCACCAGAAGTATCATGTTTCCCCCTTGGCGTATGAATAAGCTAATTGATCTGTTTGTGGACAATTCATCATAGCTTCTGACTATCGAATCTTCAATACCATCAAAATACA